GACCTCATGTATTGGAGGTCTATGTTAGCTTGTATTAAAGTGTTGAATGATACTGAGCATATTGGCACTTAAAGGTAACTATTTAATTGTATTGACAAAGGAAACATAATAAAATCTCAGAAATTCTATTTTGGTGGATGTTCAGTAAAAATGGATATGCTCTCCTCTTCTTTTCCCGCCCCTTCTCTCTTCCTTTTTCAAACTTCAAACCCAGGGCCTCAAGCCTGCCAGGCAAGTGCTGTACCATTGAGCCATAACCCCTAGTCCTGAATATTCTTTATTCAAATGTAGGTAACAGAGTTCACAAAATGTTTATGAATTTAGTCTGGTTTGACTTTGAAGCTTAGAAGAATTTAGAATATTTCTTTGAGATGATGTACTCTTAAACTACTGGGTATGGGAGAGTGATCTAAATCTACCTCATTCAATAAAGTAACTACTAGCCATATATGGTTATGTAAATCAATAAAATTAAAAATTTAGTTTCTCAGTTGTACTGTCCACATTTCAGGTATTTACTGGTCCCATTTACAGAGCATTTCCATCACCATAGAAACCTCTCTTGGTGCATTCCTCATGTTCCGTGGAAGGATCCTTCATTAGCTACATAGTTATTCACACATACTGAAAAAAAAATTCCCACCTTCTCATAATCTGGGTCATTTAAAAACAACCATCACACAGGCCATGAATCTATTCTTCTGTTTTAGTTAAAGCTTCTACTTCTCAATGATTAGCAGGAAGTTATTATACTTTCCTGCCTCACAGGAGTGTTTCCAGTATTAATTTCAGGATGGATGCATTACCATCGGGAACATGGTGCCTCACTCCAGCTTCTAGAGTTCTAAGATCATTGACTGACTGGCTTCAATTTGTGGCCATCCTATATCTAAACAAATCATCCAAGCAGGAAAAAAGAATCTGTCTTTGTTCATATGACTCCAATTGGTTGTATGAAATAAAGCATACTGAGTATAATTGTGTTTTTGCTAGAGTAATTGTAAATATTCCTGAAGTATTCTACCCCTCTTAAAAAAATGTATTTGGGGCATATGGGATGAAAACATTCTAGATATTGGAATGGGTTTTCTTTTCAAGCAGTAATGAAAAGGAGGTACATGTTTGCTTTTCAGTCATGTTCTTCTAGGATAGGAGTGTCTGGCTTTCTAGAACTATTTTTAAAAAGAAAAACATTTTTGTGAAAATGGACAGTCTCATTATAGCTTCTGTAAGCCTGGAACAGAAACTAGAATTGTAAAACAAATTTCTACCCACCAAACTTCAATACAACACCTTAAAGTACTTAATTGTACTTTTTCCTGTTCTTTATAAAATATTTGACTCCTGGTATAGTTTCATTATCTTAAAGCATACATATTTCTTTCTCTTAATTTTAAGATAGTTTGTTGTGATACAGAAATCATCCTTAAGATTTAAACATGTGATTAGGTCATTAACAAGAAAAAAAATTGGCATCTATGTGCAGGTGATCAGATGACATAAGCAGTCTGGTTTTAATTTGTGGCCAGTACTGATTGTAAGTAGGAGAGACTTGTTCTTTTTGTGGAATTGGCTGACTCGTTCCCTACATCTGGAGTTAATAAACTCTTTGAGACCACATCAGTTGTGCTTTGCCGCAAGAACCCTTTGATCTGAAAAATCGAGACTGGCACAACTGCTGCTTCGTAACATTGCATCTGTGTTTTTGCAAGCTATGGTTAAGATACTGAAAGTAAAGTGAGATGGGCCTGTTTGAGAAGCATGTATTTCAAACATTTTATTAGGATAAAAATTTGAACTTAATGTTAGTAGATACACGAATACAGTATCATATGGAATTTGTTTATGATTTTTGTAGGATCTGTCCTTTGAAAGTCTATTGTTTTCAAAACCATTTGCAAAGACTATTGTTAAAAATAAATTTCATAGCTGGGTGCCAGTGGTTCACACCTGTAATCCTAGCTACCCAGGAGGCTGAGATCTGAGGATCCCAGTTTAAAGCCAGCCCAGCAGGAAAGTCTGTGAAACTCTTTATCTCCAGTTAACTACTCAGAAAAAACCCGAAGTGGTGCTGTGGCTCAAGTGGTAGAGGAAAGGAAACTCAGAGACAGTGCCCAGGCCCAAAATTCAAGTCCCAGGACCAGCAAAAATAAATAAACTTCATCACTAATAATGAGGCCTGTTTCTGCATACAGCTTCAAATGTTTTAAGAGTAGGAAAATGTCTTCCTCTGATGTGTTTGGGTTTCTTGGTTTCCTTGCTTTCTGTGACAGCCATCAACTAATAATTGTCCCATCAACATATGCTCTATTTAGCAGCAGTTTGTAAAAGTGCAAGTTTGTCATGTATTTGTGACATGGTACATGAAAATTGAGTGGGATTGTGGATAAAAAAATATAAATTAGCGAATCATATAGAAATTTAAAGTGACAAATTATGTGTGTCTTCTTTGCATGAGATAACACATCAAAACTGGAGTCTTTCTGTTATCGTCAAGTATGAGATTCACATGTTGTTTCGGTCTGTAACCTGAGTGGAGTTAGAGACTTTCATCTTTCACACTTTGAGATGAAGGCTGATGTGTAATTGTAAAGATGCATTGGTGATTTAAAAACAAAAAAAGCATATGTTCAGATGTCTCTAAATTGGATTCTTGTGTTTTGTAGCCAAATCTGTGGATTTATTTTACTTTTTGTTTGTGGCTTGAGGAAATCTATATACAAAGGGAGAAAAGGACATTTAGTTACAACTGAGATTAGAAACTGAAACTTGATAAAGGAAATAGTCCAGACTTCCTTTCTCGAGAGCTTTACCTCCCTGCATGTATTATACATACCAAATACATTTGTGTGTACCCAATTACTTGATATTAACAATCTTTTTGAACAATCTTTTTGAAGTGTGTTTAATGTGTATAATGAACAAACTATCTGCATATTCCCTTATCTACATTCCTTCTGAATAATTCTTAGGATTATATCTATCTGTGTCAAACTCAGGTAACTACACATGCATGTTTTTATCTCTGAGATGTGAAAAGATAGTGAACAAACCCGAAAGTCAATCCATTAAACTGTCATACCTGTGCCTGTATTATCACAACTAGCCACAGAGTGAAGCAGGACATTTTAACTTTTTATTGAGATTCAGGTGTGTCCCTGTCTGTGTCTGTGTGTGATGTGTATGGGTGTAGAAGCTCATGTCAAACAACAATCATGATTAAGTAGTGTTTGAGGGCTGGTCAGGCTATATTTAGCAACAAGACTGCTCCTAATAAGAATGATTCAAAGATAGTATTGTCTTACTCTGCCTCTTTACTTTGTGAAAGGCATTGTACTAAGTAAGCATTTTATAATATGTATCATGTGATCTTCCCTTTCAGCCTCCAGATTTAGGCCAGTTAGCACCATTTCACAGATGAGGAAATTCACAGTTTGAGGAAAGGGTAATTTTCAGAGATCTTGATAATTTAGTTCCTCAAAGAAACATTATGTGCTTGATAATTTATGAATATATAACTGATGGTTCCTGTACATTTTAATCTTACAATATAGTCAAAACTTTTTGTATGTGTGGGTGATGGTAAGGATCCAACCGAGGGTCTCATGAATGTTAGACAAGTGCTTTACCACAGAGTTACTTCCCCAATCCCTAGACTTTTTTCTCTATTAATGTTAATAAATGTATGCTTGGGTTAAAGATACCAAATTATGTATTAAAAATCCTTCTTCCCAATTCTAAGTCTAGAGATACAACCATTATACTGATGCTTGCATATGAGTCCAGAAAAGTTATAATGATTTTTACACATGCTCCCATAATTTTAATGTTACTTTTTTCTGGTTAAGTGAATACTTAGAATTTTTATTTTGCCGTGAAATTTAATGGCTGTGTTTCTTAACAAACTTAAGCAAAATAATTTCACATACTATTCTCAGTAGCTTCTCTTTCCTTTCTGTCTTGCAGCTTCTGCTTACTTCTGCATGCCATACATCATTTTAGCTACTATTTTATTTGTTTGCCTTCTTATGTTTAGTAGTTACAAGAATGATGTGATCACATTTTGATCATTAAGGTCACTGGCTGCCCATTTAATTTTCCAGAGGAATGCCGATGTTGGCCATTTTCTAATTCAAAATGTTCATAGCTTGCTTTCTGTGGAGCAGAAGTTTACTGAAAGAAATTAAAATACTGCTCTAACAAATGAGATTTTTCTTAAAGTCATGCCAGATTTAAAAGTGTACTTGAAATTAAAAAAATGAAAATCCCTCAGCAGAATTTCATTTTATTTGTTAACCCTAATAATTTAAAGAAGTTTCTGAACAATTGTGGTATGCCTTTCACAGCTACCTTTTATTAATAATAGTGAAGAACAGCAACATTTAACCTAACTTATTTAATGAACTTTATGAACCCAGATTTTTTTTCTTTTTCTTTTTTTTTATTTTTTGTGAACATACTGTACAGAGGGGTTACAATTACATGGGCAAGATAATGAGTACATTTCTTATCAAGCATTGCAGCCTCCTCCTTTGTTTACCCTTCACATCCCTTCCCAGCCTCCCCCCGCCCCCCCCCCCCCTCTCCCCCCCCCCACCAAAGTTGTAAAGTTCGTTTTCCACATGACAACTTGTACTTCTCATTGTTGCAAGGGGTCCACCTATATCCTTAAACGACTTGTTTTTCCCCATCTCCTCCATGAACCCAGATTTTATATCACATATTCAAAGGCATTTGTTTGCCTTATCAAATTTTGAAACATAAGCTGATATTTGGTGTTTTGTTATCCAAGTCAACATTTAAGACTTTATTCAGCCACCTGGTATAATGGTCACACAAAGATGTAATACATAGAATATTTGGCATGTCGATTTAGGCAGTAGTCTTTGTGTTATAAGCTTTTTAGAGATTAGATAGGCCTTCTTAGACCCTTTATGGAATGAAGAACTCTTAAGTAATAGTCATTTACATTTTAATTAAACTTTCCATTTAATTTTAAGGTATATGCACCATCCCCAAATTCTGATGATTTCAACCGTGAATCTCCTAGTTATCCATCTCCTAAGCCACCAACCAGTATGTTTGCTAGCACTTTTTTTATGCAAGGTAGGTATTATCAAACAATTGTCGCATATATACACAGTCACCTTTGTATTAGCGAATACTTTAAAGTGTGAAGAAAGAGAATATCCAAGAATTCAGATATTACTTATCTAAGTGTTTCTTGGCTGAAATAAATTAATATTTACCATTATATTTTTGTAGTATCTGTTGCTAACTACAATTTACTCAGTTATTCAACATACTATTAGAATACTCATTTAGTATTGATTGGATTTATAAAAGACTTAAATTGACAAAAATGAGCAAAGCCTCTTTGGATTGTTTTAGAACTCAAAAATATGAAAGTTGTTAACAACTGATTCCCTGTTTAAATTAGATTCATATCTTACCTAGAGTTACTAAGAGATATGAATGAATATCATAGAACAAAGCAGTGCTTATTAAGGGAGAGTGTTGCATTTCCTTTAATTTGTGTTTAGCAAGTCATTTTTATATGGTTTCCTGTGGTTCAGGATTATGGGAAGCATGTATATCGGAGCAATAAATCATTACTTAAATGGTTCCCTAAGTGAGGTCATTGCTGACACAGTTCACTTGAAGGCTCACCATAATGTGGCCATTATCAATTACTTAGGTTACTACTGTTAGAAAAACTTTATTCCACAGTTTCAAATGTCTAATATAAATTTCCTGTTACTGATTAATAATTTCAAAAATGTATTTAGGGTATACCATTTAATAAAAAATTTAAATATCCAAATTTAGATTTAAAAATTTTTTTAATTCTTATTTTTTTTTTAATTCTTATTTTTTCGGGGCCACTCCTGTGGCTTCAAGTCTGGGGCTTGGGTGCTGTCCCTGAGCTTCCTTCTGCTCAAGACTAGTGCTCTACCACTTGATCCACAATGCTACTTCTGGCTGTTTTGAGTAGTTCATTAAAGATAAGTGTCTCATGGCCTTTCTCATGGACTCTGAACTGCAATCCTCAGATCTCAGCCTCCTTAGTAGCTAGGATTACAGGCGTGATTCACTGGCGCCCATCTAGAATTTTTATTATCTTCCTTAATATTGGAAATTTTTATCTTCTAAGATTTTTGTAATGACCTTCCTATTGCGGTTTGGATTTTTCTTTTTGTCAGAGAGGGGAGGGCACTTGGACACATTGTCCTGCTCACTCAGCTTTCTTGCTCATGACTAGTATTCCACCCCTTGAGCGACACCGCCAGTCCTGCTTTTATGCCCGTTATTTTGGAAGTGAGTTCTCAAAAAAGACTTTTGCCAGACTGGTTCCAAACTGAGAGCTTCCAGGTCTTAGCCTCCTAAGCCATCATTTTTTTGTTTTTGTTTCTTTCATCTTTTTTTTTTTTTTTGGTTTGGTTGTGGGGCCTGAACTCTGGGTCTGGGCGCTGTCCCTCAGCTCTTCAGCTCGAGGCTAGCGCTCTACCACTTGAGCCATAGCGCCACTTCCAGCTTTTTCTGCTTATGTGGTGCTAAGGAATCAAACCCACGGCCTCATGCATGCAAGGCAAGCACTCTACCACTGAGCTGCCTTCCCAGCCCCTTTTTTTTATCTTTTTAAATAGTGATTTTACAATTTGGAGGGGGGGAAATTCTGGATAGAATATTAGATTGAAAAAGGGAGAGAAAATAGATAGAAGGTATCCTTTGGATTTTTGTAAGCATGATCAAAATGGAAAAAAAATATATAGCTAAGGAAAGTTTTGTGTTTCTCTTTTTGTTGTAGATGGGACCCATAATTCTTCTGACCTTTGGAGTTCATCAAATGGGATGAGCCAACCTGGTTTTGGTGGAATTTTGGGGACCTCCACTTCGCACATGTCCCAGTCCAGTAGCTATGGCAGCCTTCATTCGCATGACCGCTTGGTAGGCTATCAGGCTATCACATATTTATTACTTGGGTGTGGCAATACTTTTTCCTTGGGTTTCAAGATAAAATTTGATTTTTGCCAACTTTTGTGAAGTTTTTAAAATAGCCCAAACCTGCATTTACATGTCATCAAGAGTAAATTACACGAATAGTATTTTCTAGCTGCTAACTGGTAATGTTCTTTCCCTGTTGTAGTAGTTGTCTGCTATATATACATAGTACTTGGAAAGAAGAAAATACATTGTAATAGATCATCTCTTTCCTCTTTTTCTAGAGTTATCCTCCACACTCAGTCTCACCAACAGACATAAACACAAGTCTTCCACCTATGTCCAGCTTCCATCGAGGTAGTACCAGCAGCTCACCGTATGTCGCCGCCTCACATACTCCTCCCATTAATGGATCAGATAGCATTCTAGGTGAGCCTTTGGAGTTGACAAAACTTCCTAAACTTGCATTTGGTTTTTGGGATTTGATCGGGTTTTATTTTGTTTTTGTGAGCCCATATCTTTCTGTATACTATTTAGTTTAAAAGTAAAAGGAAGAAACTTTGTTTTCTTTAGTACAGAAACCAGTGAGGAACTTGTTTTGACTTACTAAAAAATGACGCACATATAAGATAATATTTATCAAAATGAACTCTTAAGAGATAGAGGATTTTTTCTTTCTTTTTTTTTTTCTTTTTGTCTTGCTTGTTCATTTATTTATCTTTGGGAAAGGAAGGAGGGGCACAGAAATGGAGGGACAAAGGGTGAACAAATGCAGCAGATACTATGTTAAAAATGAACTATTCAATTGTGGGTAGGGACAGGAGGGGAAAACTGGGAGAGAGTAAAAGGAATAGATGATATTGTCCAAAAAAATACACACACACACACACACACTCATAGAAGTGGCACTGGGGCTCAAAGTGGTAGAGCACTAGCACTGTGGTTCTAAGTGGTAGAGTGCTAGCCTTGAACAAAAGTGCTCAGGAACAGCACCCAAATAACACAGCTGAGTGCCATTGTTTCTATACTCCTAGCTACTCTAGAGGCTGAGTCCCGGGGATCAGGGTACAAAACCAGCCCCAGGCAAGAAAGTTTGTAAGAGTCTTGATTTCCAGTGAACCACCACAAAGCTGGAAGTTAGAGCTGTGACTCAAGTAGTAGAGTAGTGCTAGCCTTGAACTAAAAACATTCAGATCCTGCTAGGATCACACCTGTAATCCTAGCTACTCACAAGGCTGAGATCTGAGGATTGAGGTTCAAAGCCAGCCAGGCAGGAGAGTCCACAAGACTCTTATCTCCAGTGAACCACCAGAAAACCACAGGTGGCTCTGTGCCTCAAGTGATAGAGCGCTAGCTTTGAGCTTTAAGACTAGTTCAAGCCCCACCACTGAGGGAAAAAACCTCAGATCCTGAGTTTAAGCCCTAAGACTAGCACCCAAAACAAAACAAAACAAAACATCCCATACAGAGTATTTCCAACTTTACTACCATCAAAAGAATGGAAATGCTTTTTGAGAAAATGTTCTCTGGCTAAAATTCTTCATTCATTTCCTTCCTTGACATGTCCAGGAACCAGAGGGAATGCTGCTGGGAGCTCACAGACAGGTGATGCACTTGGAAAGGCTCTGGCATCTGTGAGTATTTATTTTACATATTCTATGCTAGTGAATGCAGTGATTAGATTTTTATGGCAATAAAATGTAACAAAGAATGTAGTTATAACTAGCCATTTCATTACACATTTAGAGCTCTTCTCAGTTTATATTGATACTGAAGGTTCAATTAATTCATGAGATGGTTTTTCCATCTCATACCTTTCTGACTTAAATTTAAGTATATCTGACTATTTCTAGTGGGCATAGACAGGTAGAAAGGTAGGACCTTTTAAAATCTAAAGCAAAAAATTGCTGAGGTCAATCATTAAGTCCCATGTATTTATTTTAAATACGTTCTTAGTCACCCATTAAAATAAAACAGTGGAACCAAGAAAAACACAAGTCTGTTATTTTGATACAGAGAATTAAATCACTTTATCAGTGTTTTTTTAAAAAAGGGAAAATCAATCAGCTGCAGATTCTTCATTCAAAACTTAGGAACAGAAAGCCTTACACGAAAAAACTAGGTTCATTTAATAACTCAGACTAGCTGGGGGCCGGTGGCTCACGCCTGTAATCCTAGCTACTCAGGAGGCTGAGATCTGAGGATCCCAGTTCTAAGCCAGCCCAGGAAGGAAAAGTCCATAAGACTCTTATCTCCAGTAAACCACTAGAAAATCAGAAGTGGCACTATGGTTCAAGCGGTGGAGTGCTCACCTTGAGCTGAAGAGCTGAGGGATAACACCCAAGCCCAGACTTCAAGCCTCACGACCAAAAAACAAAAAACCTGAGGCTAAAACGAATTAAACTGATAAAACTTTTTCAAAGGAATCTCTATATTCTTTTTCAAACTAGCTTATTAGAACATTAATGGGAAAGATGTTGCATTTTAATATGACTCTTAAAACATTGCAATTAAAGTCTTTTCTTTTGCAATGCTAGAACTAGAGGGAAGAATATCAGAAATCTACAAAGATTTCCAAATCTAATGATTCAGGAACCTTCTCTTGTGCACGTGGTGAAATCTCACTGTAGCTTGCTTTTCTTCTTCTAAGCAGTATTCCTCTTCAAAATTCCCAAAATGTTGTCATATGTTTTCTGTGTAACATAATTGGCTCTGTCAAACATATTGCTGTTGTGGGAAGGTAGAACACTTTAGGAACTTTCAGTTGCTACCTAAGTAGTAGAGAAGAACTCTTGAGCACATAGATGGATGGATGGATGGATGGATGGATGGATGGATGGATGGATGGGCTGGGAAGTGGCTCAGTGGTAGAGCGCTTGCCGTGCATGCCTGAGGCCCTGGGTTCGATTCCTCAGCACCACATAAGCAAAAACAAACAAAAAACTTCTTTTCAGGGTGCTGGGAAGTTTGTTCAGTGGTAGAATGTTTGCATCTCATGCATGAGGCCCTGAGTTTGATTCCTCAGCACCACAAAAGCAGAAAAAAGCCAGAAGTGGCAATGTGGCTCAAGTGGGTAGGGGTGCTAGCCTTGAGCTCAAGAGCTGAGGAACAGTGCCTGGGCCCAGAGTTCAGCCCCCACGACTGACAAAAAAAAAAAAAAAGATAGATAGATAGATAGTGTTGGGGTAAGCAAATCTTTCTCTACAGCTAAATGCAAGCTAGAGAAATGAAGCCAAATCAAAATTTTCTACTATATAGTGGAATCTCACACAAAATGGATCTCAGTAATTGTTTTTTGAATTCAGTCTTGGAACAAATGTAATAATGGCAGTGATAATCACAAAAATCTCCAGTTATAACTTAAATGATTTCTACATGCTTGGCACTACTATACTAAGCATTTGCTTGCCCAGTCTATCTAATCCTCAAGAAAACCCTGTCAGGTTAGTGTTATTATCCCCATATTTCAGGGGAGGAACTAAGGTTTAAGAGGTTAAGTAACTTGAGATCTGAAAGATTAGGTAGCTTGCCCCTGGGATCACAAAGCTAGTAAGAGTAGAGCTCATGTACATTATTAGAACTCTGTTCTAACTAGCCTCAGCCTGCTTACCATGCAGGAAAAGCAGCGCTGCAGTGACTGTGTCTTACAGGAGTATGGAGGAGGGTTAAGGAGAACTGTCTCACTTTTTACTGAACTCACATCCACCTGAAGAAAGCTATATATTTAGAAAATTATTGTTCTATATTGTTAAAAGATACCCAGATATTTGGCTCCCCGTGTTCCTTCTGCTGGTTCTGGAAGAATCCAGCAACACATTCATTTCACATGTAAGAGGACAAGTAACATTTGAACTTCTAATATTAGGCTTTTTTTTTTTTTTTTTGAGGGTAGGTCATGGGGTTTGAACTCTGGGCTTGAGCACTGTCCCTGTACTCTTCAGCTCAAGGCGAGCGCTGTACTACTTGAGCCACAGTGCCACTTCCGGTTTTCCAGTGATTTATTGGAGATGAGAGTCTCACTGACTTTCCTGCCTGAGCTGGCTTTGAGCCGGATCCTCAGATATCAGCCTCCTGAGTAGCTAGGATTACAGACGTGAACCACTGGCACCCGGCTATTAGGCTATCTTTAATATATATTATCATATATTGGGGCTTGTTTTGTCACTGATTATTTACTTGAGGAAAACTAAATTTTGGTGTTTACAAATTTGTGGCATTCTCAGTGATCTTTTAATCTCATTTTTTGTTACCCTTAAAGTCCTTGAATATCGTCCCATATTACAAACAGCATAGAAGCCAAACCAGGATGGCAATTGGGAAAAAAAATCCAAATTCACTGAGTGGAAACCAAGGAAGAAATGTTTAACCTAGTTAGTGGGTGGGCTCTAGTTGTCATGGAAACTCACCTCTGTCATCATCCTGTGTTGTTTCTAGGCAAGAGCAGCCAGGTCATTCCATAAATCATTTCTGTCATAGCTGATGGTGATGCATTCCATCTGCTCCATCACTACATGCCATAGTCTACACAATTCAAATCCCTTCCTTCTGTCCATCTGCTCCCCCCACCCAGACACCTTTCCAAACACAGTCTTTCTCTAGCTTCCATTATGATGCACATTCACACTAATACATGTTTAATGCTTGAAATGTACTCAGAAAAAAAAATGTTACTTTGGAGTTAGGAAGGATTAGAAGAGGTGAGTAGAAGGAAACTTACAAGGGTTACTTTTGAGAGTCTGACATACATATCAGAATTTTACATTAAGTATTAAATATCTTTGGGATTGGTGATCCTGGCTATTCCAAAATTTATAAGTTGTTTAGAATGTGACATGTTTAATATAGCATCTAGTTTGAGTTAGAGATACATTATGCAGTTGTCATTTGAAGTTAATTCTAGTTCATCAGTTGTCTGATGTGTGTCTTTGAAGGTCTTTCATGTGTGAAACATGGTGTAGGGTACAACCTTTGTTCTTCAGTTTAGGTATTAAAGAGCACGCAGAATACTGTGGTTAAACATGTGAGGCCTGATAATGCATCTGCAAAGGTTCCTTTATTTTAGGTTTAAGCCTGGATAATTGTAGTCTTAATCTCAGGATATCAAGAAAGAGAATTGTACATGAAAGTATTTACACAAAGTTCCCAAAGCCCTATGGATTATGCATTAGTTTAGATAATAAACTAGGGTAGACAGAAGGAAAGGAAAATCTGTGTATTCGTGCCATTTCTAATGTGTTTCCCTGAACATTTGCCAGACAATAGCCCTTTAAGATTGTGCCCATGGAGAGTTATATAGAGGAAGAAACATCTGGTTTATCTCAGTGCCTAATACCATATCAAAACACTTGGTCTTTAATTTAGAGGAGATCAAACAAGAGGACTGTTTAACTTTGTTGATTATATCAGACTTCTTTGTGATAATTTATGTTTTGATTTCTACCTCAGAGAGAGTGAGAGGGACAGAAAGAGGGAGGAGAGATTTTTAATCTGGATGGTTAAATGGTCTGTAGTCTACAACAAAAGAAGAAAATTCCGGGAAGTTGACGTTTAAAAGTAATTCATGAAATAAGTTTCTTTGTTCCTTAGACTCAATAACATTAGCATAATAAAGATTAACTGAAATGTGCACTGTAGTGTTTAAGAAATTGGGCTCCTAGTTCCAGGGTTAGGCATAGGAGCTTTCCATTGTTTCTTTTTTGTCTGAGGCCCTTTTCATTAGCCTCTAGCTTTATTGGCACCCTGCTGATTGGAATGGACCATGACTGATAGGAGGAGGAGTCTCATTTGTTGCCGTAAAATGAGGCATATTACCGTGTTAGCCTGGCAGAAGGTATTGGGAGTTATTCATCACTGGTCATTTAACAGTGGGAGGATCAGGGACTGCATGCGGAATGAGTTCTTACTTTGTGTTTATGCTCTAGACACTAAATCCTCCCACCCCCATTTTTAAGTGACTGACTTTTTTTCTTCTTGTTTCCCCTTCAAAACACCAATGTTTGAGTCCATAAAACCTGAAAAGCAATGTATTTTGGGTTTAAAATGCTATTAGCCAAAAAAAAAAAGTATAGCGCTTAGAATTTAACATAACAAAAATTTTTATAGAAAAAAATTGTGATTTGGTAATAAAATAAACCTTCAAAGATGAAGTTTTATGAGATGATCCGTGATCCCCAGACTGTTACCATACTCTTTCCTCTCCCTGCCCTCACGTTCTTTTTATGAAACTAAAGATAGGGGTTAGGAATGTGGCTTAGTGACACAGTGCTTGCCTAGCATGCATGAGGCCCTGGGTTTGATTCCTCAGTACCACATAAACGAAAAGAAGGAGGAGGAGGAAAAGGAGGAATAATTATAATTATATTTTTAAAAAGAAAGTAAAGGGATGAAGGAAGAGTCCTATAACATACCCAGGAGAGCAGGAAAAGAATGATGATAAAGTAGAACCAGCAAATGTAAAAATGGTTTTATTGCCTGGGTACTGGTGGCTCATGCCTGTAATCTTAGTTACTCAGGAATCTGAGATTTGAGGAACCTGGTTGGAGCCACCCTTAGCAGAAAAGTACTTGAGGCTCCCATCTCCATTTAACCAGTGAAAAGTCAGAAGTAGAGCTGTGGCCCAAGTGGTAGAATACCAGCTTTAGGTGGGAAATCAAGTGAAAGCAGAGTCCCTGAGTTCCCAGTATTGGCACCAAAAGAAAAAACAAACAGGCTTTTATTGTACCATGCAGGCACTTCTTTTGGTGGGGAGGGGAATACCCAAAATTGTATGCCACAAAATTTACAATTATACATTTGCAGTAATTTTTTTCTCAAATGCTTACACCTATTTACCTATAGAATTGGAATATTATGCTGTCATATATGAATCTGAAGTACAACCTCTTCTTTGACATAAAGGAGCTATCAGTCCTTGACAGGCTTCCAGATTGCTTAACTGAAGGGCAAAGTAGTCAAGAACTATAAGAGGTGGTTGTGCATCTATACCTTCAACAGCCCCATTGCTACCTAATGATATGATATGAATAACCTAGTACACTAACACTAATGTCCACCTTGCCTTGTAATTGTTCTTGAAGCTTATGCAATAAAACTCATTTGAAATGAAGTCATCTATATAGCAGTCTTTACCCTCCTTGATATTTCTAGTTACTGACCTCTATTACTACATACTGAGATAAGTATTACCATTTACCATAAATACTACCTGTATTTGAGCAAACTTTTAAGTGTGGTTTTTTAAATCACTCAATATTTTAGTTTCTAATGGTGAATATATACTTGTGTAACACAGTGGCCGGTGGTGATAGATTCATTGTTGAACTGTATAAGGGTCCTTTCTTTGAAGAACTTACAGTCAAGAAAAGAAGATAAGACAGATTGCAAGCAGTGATAGTGTAGAGTGCAATGTAGAGCAAGGGGTTAAAGAGAAATTCCAGTTATTCTGAGTGTAAGGGAGGTGACATTTGAGCTAAGCTATGATACAGCATAAAATCACATCAGCGAGAGGTTAAGAAACAGACATTTGGAAAGTAGTTGTGTTCAGAAAATGAAAAAAAAAACCTGTGGCAGTAATAGAGTATAGATGGATTATAAAGTAAAAAGATTTTTGTGATTAGATTATGGAAGATATAAAATGTTTTTCCTTTTATTTAGCAGGAAACTAGAAGGATTTGATTGTTTAAATCTGTTCAAGGTCAATAGCTCAATCATATGAGATGAAACAGTAAAAATAATACGTGTGTGTATGTATATAAGTACATGTGTGTAGATGTATGTATACATACACATGCACTTAAGTAGTCCATCCCCCAATGTCTACATGTTGTGATACAGCAGAGAGAATGCTATGTCCTTTCCAGAAGCAGAATTGTAGGTCCTAGTATTTTCAGAGGGAAGGGACGAGGGACAGGGAAAACAAGAAGGAAAGAATATACTGCTAAACTAAGTATAGGAACAGAAGAGCAGAGATGAGAAGAGCCAGAAGCTTTGGGTGTGGCTGCACAGTTTGGGTGTGGGTGTTCTCTCTTCAGCCTGAGCTGAAGGAGAGTTTGTCCAATGGAATCCAACAACCCATGTTAGTAATACCAATTCCGAATCTTCACGAAGAACAGTGTTATCAAGAGATCAGGAACAGGTGAAGAAAAAGAAAACTGCAACTAGAATTGTAGGAGAATAGCAGAGAGATGGAACATAGGTAAAGACATCTGACAACTGCAAATTTACCAGATGGAATTTCCAAGTAAAGGTGGTGAGACTCATTTTACTGCAAGTATCAGCACTGTTGTGAGATCGAAGCAGTGAACAAGACAACGTCCTTGCTTGTCTGGAGCTTAACATTTTCCTAGTGGAAAGGGCAAGAGACAATTAGTGGTTAGGAATATAATGTAAGCACTATGAAGAAAACAAAAGGTGGAGGGTATGACAGAAGCAATGCTATTCTCCAGTGCTTCTGTGCTATTAATTCTACAGAAGAGGATTAAAAATTGAGTGGGTTGATTTATGATTATCACAGTTTTGCATGGAATAGAAGTTTTTCCTCATTTCTCACTCGCCACCAATGTTGTCAGCCCTTCCCTCATCAATATTATATTCAAGGCATGTTTCATAAAAATTAACATCAGTTCTCAGGAAAGTAAAAATAGTGGACCATTGAACATAAGGTGCGGTGTCTCACACCTGTCATCCTATCTACTCAGGAAGCTGAAATCTGAGGATCACAGTTCAAGCCAGCCCTGATAGGAAAATCCATGAGACTATTTCGAGTCAATCACCAGAAAACTGGAAGTGCTGCTGCAGCTCAAAGTGGTAGAGAGCTAGCCTTGAGCAAAAAAAGCTCAGAGACAGCACGGAGGCCCTGAGTTGAAGCCCCATGACCAACCAAAAAGAGAGAGAGAAAGAGAGATTTCTGATGTTAAAGTGATAGTACGTTGTGATGTGTTATTGTTGAAGTTTGGTGGCCTGGCATAATTTACTTACCTGGTTGAAACAAAACAGTTTATGTACTTTGTGTGTGAGAGAGAGAGAAAGAGAGAGATTAAGAACCAAATTGAAACATATAGCTAATTTTCATTTATGTCCTATGTATTTTTTGTAAGAATGGAACCCAGGACTTTGTGCGTGCTCTGCAAGTGCTCTACCACAAACTATGTTCTTACCTGTTGGTTTTTTTTTTAGATAAGTTTCTCACTCAGACTGGCCAGTAACTCCCTATGTAGCCCAGGCTACCTTGGACCTTGAAATCTCCTGCCTCTGGAGTGTGCCACCATACCCAGCCCTTTTTGAGAAGTTGAAAGGATATTTTAAGAATACGTTCTTTGGTGGATTTTTGTATATATGCTTTTCATTTGGATAAAAGTGAACACAGGACCTCATATTTCCTACTCTTAAGCCATGCCTCCAGCCCTTTCTGCTTTAATTATTTTGGGAATAGGGTCTCAGGTTTTTGCCTGGACAGACCTGGCTGGACTCCAGTCCTCCTGTTTACACCTCCTGCATAGTTGCAGTGACAGGTGCATGACACCACACCCAACTATTGGTTGAAATGGGGCCTCCTTAACTTATTGCTGGCCTCAGACACCTGATCTTCACCTCCCAGGTACTTGAGATTGCAGTCATGAGCCAGGTTCATTTTTACTTTTTGGTTTTTAGTTAGCATATAGTAATTCCTTAAACAGGTTTCATTGTGATGTTCATACATGCATATGATGTGCTTTGATCAAATTCACACCCTCTGTTACTCTTTCTTATCCTTTCCTTGTTTTGATCATTTCATCACCCCACCCCACATCAGAATTTTCTTTTAAAAGTTGATAGACAAGTATGGTGACACACACTTGTAAGCTGGTCATCTCAGCAGGAGAATCACAGGTTCAAGGTCAGAGCTGTATAGTAAGTTCAAGATGATATATTGATACTCTTACACTTAAAAAAAAAAGAAAAGAAAGTTTTATGAGGTGATTATTGTTAAAGAATACCACTTATTTAAGTGAGTATATTTGGAAAAGATTGTTTAATTATCAAATAGTTTAACTTTATAGTCACATTTTGCCTTATTTTGTATTGCTTTGAGACTAGGTCTGACTATATCGCCCAAACTTGCCTCATACCTCAGTGCTGAGATTATAAGTGTGTACCACTACATCTGTTCTTGCTGCTTTGTTCTTCTGCTCTAATCATTAGAAACTTACGATCCAATTATGATTTTAAAAACATTGTATTCCTCTCACTTGCATATACGTGATACTTTTTATCCTAGTTTGAAAACTGAGGCTGCTTAGCCTTTACTAATAAAACAGTCTTGAAATTGGTGATTAGCCTTTTCATTATGTGTCTTAGGGTAAGGACTTAGATTATAAAACCAACCCCATGTGGATGCATTTGTATGTTTGCTGTTGTCTCATATTGATGATGTTTGTCTCATTTTCTGGTTAGATTTATTCTCCTGACCATACCAGCAGTAGTTTTCCATCAAACCCATCAACACCAGTGGGATCGCCTTCACCTCTCACAGGTAGGCTCTCTTTCCTTCATAGCTTGTATTCTTCTCCTTGAAATATTTCAGGGTCTTATTTTTTTTTCAATAAAACCCAATAAAATTTTATGAAAAAAAGTAATTTTAATTTTAATGGTAAGAAAACATCTAAACAGAAGCTTCCAAAGGAGAATATTGAAATATTTGCTAGTTTAATAAATGATGTTATGCATATCTTCCTTGATTCTTAAACTACTTGGCGACAATTTCCAACAACAGTTGTTTTAACAGAATAATAATAAAGCTAGGCAGTCCAGATGAAGGTAAAATACGGAATAAATAACATAGAATAGAAACAAAGTGATCCATGTAGAAATTCAAGGGCTGGGGAGATAGCTCAAAGTGGAGCCTGTGCTTAGGCTGCATGAGACCCTGTCTTCAGCCCCCCATCTGAAAAACACAGCAACCTGATGGTTTCTGTAGATCATCTTTTCTACTTTTTTAAGTCAAACTAGATTGTTTTTTCATATATATATATATATATATACATACATACATACATATATATATATATATGTAAAATCTTGGTAATGGTATCGTTTTTTTTCCTAAGAAAATGAACTGTCTTATCAACATGAATGATTACATTAGTGGAGATACCTATATGATTCCAATTTCTTTACTTTCCCTTGTTTTTTTTTTTTTTTACATTAGTTTTGACAAGTTTTGGATACTATCCAGTACTCTGATTTTGTTGAGGAACAATTATTATAAATGGATTTTTTTTCCTTATACTAGGAATAACTAAAAGATACAAAAATTGTATGCTTACCTTTAAGCTGTCATTTAAAAATTGACATGTTTTCTAAGCAATGTTTGGGGAAAATAAAAAAGACATTATTACGTAACTGAATAAACTTGGTATATTCCTCCAGTGACAGGCCCACGTGTTTTTGGTTTTGTGGTCATTATTAAGCCGTGTAGTATTGTGCAGAAGTTCTGGAAGTCAGGACTCTGCGAAGGCAGGGCCCTTGCTATCACCTGTGTGTGCCTTATGTATTGGCCTTGTGACTCTAAAGACGCTTTCCAGTATGATGATGAACTACTGGCAGCTGCTTTCAGCTATTAGCAGGTTCTGCCACTTTCTCAGACACTGTGGCTTCAGCTGTCTAGTAAAAGTTGAACAGCTGTTCCCACATAGACAAGGCTATGAAAGAACCATTGACTTAAAGTTGTTGTTTAACAGTACTGAAATTACAGGAAGAATGATTTAACTGTTAGCCCTGCTCACCCCCTCAGCCCATGTTTACTACAATTATCAAGGTCATCTTTCTTTTCATTTTTTATATATTTTTTAAATTTTTCCCCTACTATCTCTTCCCTACCCAACACCCCTCAACTGCTCCCTATCCTCCAAGCTCTAAAGTTCATTTCCAACATAGTGTCTTGTACATCTCATTGTTATAATTGATCTAGTTTGGTTTTTTGTGTTTTGGGTTTTTGTTGTTGTTGTTGTTGTTTTTGGTTGGTCCAGGGGCCTGAACTCTGAGCCTGGGCGCTGTCCCTCAGCTCTTCAGCTCAAGGCTAGCACTCTACCCCTTGAGCCACAGCCCCACTTCTGGCTTTTTCTGCTTATGTGGTGCTGAGGAATCAAATCCAGGGCACAAGCACTGTACCCCTGAGCCACTTTCCCAGCTCTCGAGATCATCTTTGTCATTGCCATTGCACGTTTCTCTGCTGAGGTATCCATCTGCTCTTACTGTCATCTCTCCCCCGTTCACCCCAGTAGGAAGCAACTGAAGTTCCCTCTGATTTCAGTTCCTCAAGGAGGAAGGCTTTAGTGGAGCTCAGCATCTATGAAAAAACACCAGTAAAATGGAAAAATCAGACAGTTTTCAAAAGAGTAAAAAACAACAACTATATAATCTCACATTTCTGCTAGGCGGTGGTGGCTAACAGCTACAAATTCTAGCTACTCTACTCAGGAGGCTGAGATCTGAAGATTATGGTTCAGAGCCAGCCCTAACAATAAATTTGTGAGACTCTTCAATTAATCACAGGTAGTCGTGCTGTTGCTCAGGTCGTAGAGTGCTAGCTTTGAGCAAAAGGAGCTTAGGGATAGTGCCCAGGACCAGCAAAAACAAAATAGACAAACAAACAAACAAAAAATCCTCCACATTTCCTCCTCCATTGTTATTTAATGTTGTATTATTTTTCCCCAGTAATTCAGTTGATCAGTGAAAATTTAGATGTCTAAATTACATGATGAGATATTAATAGGTCTCTTCCAATTCAGTATAATTGAAGAAAGATACTTTTGCCTACTTCTGCTGAAACATCATGTCAAAGACTGATTTTATGGAGGTATATTTCTCCTGTGTCTAGTACTGTTCTATGTGTCTCTCATACTTGTGTACACACACACACACACACACACACACACACACACTATGGCGGAGTAGAGAGAGAGAAAAGAAAGTACTATATGCTAAAAGTGCAGTGGCATGTTGTTGACAGCCGTGTGGATAGGTAGGGGTCTGCATTTGCCCTATTCTTAAGCCTGAGCATCAGTGAGACTCAGCACAAACTTTGTGACGAAAGACACCCAGGCTGAGCCATTTAAGCAGCTTCCAAGGGCTTAAGTCCACCTCATTCTCCTTGGGAACTTTACAAGCCTAGAAAATACACTTCTGGAGAGTACTTAGGAGGAAGTTTGTAAGGTCCTGTACCAGTTAAGATGCTTTAGGGTGAAAAAAAAAACAACTTATTCCACTGGCTTGAACAATTCAGCATTTTATCTTGTATCACCAGAAGCCCATAGCAGGCAAGGAGTTGACCCTGTATGACAGAGTTCCTGTTCTACTTCTTAGCAACTCTGTATCCGGCTGGTGGCAAAGCAACAGTTGGAGGTTCCACGTGAAGCTATAACAGTCCAATAGAAAGGAAAGGACTGTCATATTCCTCATCTCTTCAGAAACCTTTTCTAGAAGCCTCCTCAATAGATTTCTCTTCTTGTGTCATTGACCACCTCTGGGTCTAACGCAGTTGGCTTATGACAGAAATGGAACTGCCATGTTTATCATAGGTGATGAGAATATCCCCAGGACCAGGAATAAAATTACTCTCTGATGGCTCAGGCCAGAAAAGAACTCACTCACCATCTCATGTGAACCAAGTCAGGATTCTGGCAGCAATGTCAAATAGAGGAATGGCCATGTCTCATGCCTACTTCTGTTATCATTTAGGGAAGATGCAGCCTTTGTGTTAGAGTATACTGAGTAAAGAAGCTTGGAAGGCAGACAAGACAAGCAAGGCCATCTTTGTCTTCCTTGACCTTCTTCTGGAAAATAAATGAATAAAAAACTTGTGATCATAGTGCTCAGTAGTACTCCTCAGAGAATTCACAGTAAGAATTAAGTCCTCAGATTGAGCTGGTTTAATCAATAGAAATACTTTGATAAATAGAGCACTCTATGCTACTTTAAGAATTAGAATTTCTGCCGGGTGCCAGTGGCTCATGCCTATAATCCTAGCTACTCAGGAGGCTGAGATCTGAGGATCACAGTACAAAGCCAGCCCAGGCAAGAAAGACCATGAAACTCTTACTTCCAGTAAACCCCCAGAAAACTGGAAGTGGCACTGTGGCTCAAGTGGTAGAGCGCTAGCCTTGAGCTCAAGGGCTGATGGACAATGCCCAGGCCCAGACTTCAAGCCTCATGACCGATGAGAGAGAGAAAAGAGAGGAGAGAGGGAGAATTAGAATTTCCTACCCCTTCTAGGCATGGGGAAATCTCATGAAAGTTTGACTCTAGGGTGAGATTACAAAGAGAACAACTAACAATAAGAAAATAGGGAGAGGGCTGGGAAGGTGGCTCAGTGGTAGAGTGCTTGCCTTGCATGCATGAGGCCCTGGGTTCGATTCCTCAGCACCCCATGAGGGACAGCGCCCAGGCCCAGAGTTCAGGCCCACAACCGACCAAAAAAAAAAAAAAAAATAGGGAGGGGCTGGTAGAGTGCTTGCCTAACATGCATGAAGCCCTGGGTTCAATTCCTCAGTACCACATAAACAGAAAAGGCCAAAAGTGGTTCTGGGGCTCAAGTGGTAGAGTGCTAGCCTTGAGCAAAAAAAGGAGCTCAGGGACAGTACCCAGGCCCTGAGTTTGCCCCAGGACTGGCAAAAAAAAAAAAAAATGGAGCCAAGTGTGTTAGTGCGAATCCATTATCCAGTACCAGGGAAGCTGAGGTAGGAGGATTAGAGTTTAAGTTCCATCTTGGTGTGTATAGCAAGCAGAAAAGGGAAGGAGGAAGGAAAAAGGAAAGAAGGACAATAAATAATCCTCTTAGCCACACAAAATGGTGTTATCATCTAAATTTACTAACCAGTTGTATTAGGTGACCCAGAATGAAAACATACTGGGTGAGTTAGATTTATCATCAAAGATTTTACAGATCTCTCTTGTTCTAGATTCCTACCGATCTTGTTTTCTTTCTTTTTTTTGTCATTCATGGAGCTTGAACTGTGGGCCTGGGTGCTTTTCCTGTGCTCTTCAGCTCAAGGCAAGTGCTATACTGTGTGAGCCACAACGGAATATATCTAGCGGTTTATTGGAGATAAGAGTCTCACAGAGGGGCTGGGAAGGTGGCTCAGTGGTGGAGCGCTTGCCTTGCATGCCTGAGGCCATGGGTTCGATTCCTCAGCATCACATAAGAAAAAAGAAAAAAGCCAGAAGTGGCGCTGTGGCTCAAGTGGTAGAGCGCTAGCCTTGAGCTGAAGAGCTGAGGGACAGTGCCCAGGCCCAGAGTTCAGGCCCCACGACCGGACCCCCCCAAAAAAAAGTTTCACAGAGTTTCCTGCCCGGGGTTGGCTTTGAACTGTGATCCTCAGATCTCAGCCTCCTGAGTAGCTAGGATTACAAGCATGAGCTGCCAGTGCCCGGCACCTATCTTGTTTTCTATAAATGTTCAGTTAACTTCAGTGTCAAATAAGTTACTTCTATCTAGGCACTGGTGGCTCATGCCCATAGTCCTGAGGATTGTGGTTCAAAGTGAGCCCAAGAAGGAAAGTCCATGAGACTCATCTCCATTTAACCACCAGAAAACCAGAAGTGACTCAAAGTGGTAAAGTGCTCACCTTGAGTTTTGTAAAGAGTGCGGGGATAGCGCCCAGACCCTGAGGTCAAGCCTCATGATTTACAGAAAAATAAAAAATAAGTTCTTTCTAATGCTTCTAGAATCAGGGTTACGTTTTATGATGGTCAGTAGAAATCCCAGGACAATTACAGAAATCACGTGGATAGAGTAGTTGAAAGCTTGTGCTCATCTAAGAGGCTCAAACCCTCTGTCTACCACCAGACATCAGGTATGAAGGAAGAGGATAATAGTCCAGTGTCTAAGTCACCCTGAGATTTCTAGCTTTTGTACTTTTCTTATATTAATGCTATAGTTGATTGTTGCAAGCTAGACACCAATATGATCCTAAATGTTATCTGTACATTTTATTCACAAATTTTACAAAGAGATGAAGGTACAGGTCTGTTTAGAATAAAATACATGCTGGCATTATGGTCTGTGTCTAGATTTGAATCCCCCACTTCAATCCCTCACTTCAGAGCTTTCATCCACAACTAACAAGTCACCAGTAATCCAGAAAGCTTTGGAATATTTACTTTTTTCCTTATTCCATTTTTGTTATCAGAAACAGATTGTATTGATTTTCCATTACTACAAACACCTTTAGACTTATGAAGTAAATGCTTTCATTTCTCTTTAAGATAGGCTTTCTAAAGCAGATTAAAATAAAAATTAATGTGTTCCTGTTTTATATTCAGCTCGCTTTATAAATTAACTGATAATATGGATCAACCAGATTATGGAGCCATTAACCCCTAGTATCCACTCAACGTGTGTGTGTGTGTGTGTGTGTGTGTGTGTGTGTGTGTGTGTGTGTGTGTGTGTGTGTGTCTCCACTGCGCTACATCTCCAGCCTCTAAATATTTTTAGAGAAAATTTTGAATTTCTATATTTTAAGTTTTCTAAATATTTGAGAGATATATTTTGAACTTTCCTAGCCTTGTTATTGATAGCCATCTCCTGATAGTTTTAAATGACTAGGGTGAGTTATAGGAGCTTTGCCCATGAAATAGATATAGCTTAGAGTTAGACAAAGTGCAAATAGATACAGATATAACCCTATTGTATTCTTTTTCATATATTATGAAAATACTGTACAGAGGGATTACAGTTACATGGGCAAATCCTATTATATTCTGCTTTAACCAAATATACAACATCAGGGACTCCAGTCGGTGGTGGTGGTGGTGGTGATGATGATGATGATGATGATGATGATGATGATGATGATGATGATAGACAAAAGAGGTTTAAGTATATGTCCACATTTTCCAGTTTAGTAGATGCTATTTTGGAGTAGGCCTTTGCATAGTTTCTTCATATTTCCATCAAAAAAATTCTAAATGTAAGTCAGGTAGTATATGCCAGTGGCAGAGGCCTGCATAGCATGTGCAGAGCTCTTGGACCCTCCCCCCACCTCCAGCATCACAGTTTAATTCAAAAAGGAAAGAGGAAAAGCTTATGCATACGCTGAATATTCTGAAGTGTGTAAACATAAAACTATGACGTTAGTATTTCCAGAAAATTAGGTAATTTAATGATTTGGCTCCCATCACATGATGGGAGTTGGGGAGGAGAGGGTGGAAGAACAGGTAAGCAAAATGTTTAAAATGATTATTTTCAGTAATTTAGAGTCACCTTTTGAATAGCCTATCCACCCAAAATTCATAAATCTGCATAAATCTATATCACACGTTTTCAAGTTACATAATATATGAAATTGATGGATGGGTAGTTATCAGTTGTTTAGTTCTTAATGGTGGTATTCAGTTAAAGTGAAAACAGTAGTTCCAGTTTAAGCTTTTCTGAGATAACAAGTAAGTCATTGTGTTTTCATTATCACTAGTGTCCTAAATATAGCAAAGAGACTTGCAGCAACACACGATCCTGAAATACAACTTAAAAATTGCTTGCTTTTGCATGAAAAATGATAAAATAGAGAAGATTTTTGATCATCTGTTTGATCTTTTTCTTTTAAAAAGTGATTTTGGCAACACCATTAGAATATTACATTCAACAAGGGATTGACTGATGCATTGATTATCCTGAGGATCAAACCCAGGACCCTGCATGTGTTAAGCACCCATCCTCATTCTTTATGAACATATATCCTCTCTTCTTTCTATCTTCATTATGTAATTCTACTTTCCTAACAAAAAGAATGACATTGAATAAAGATTTTAATAATGCTATTTTCCAAATTGAATAATGAATTTTGAAACAAATTTATGTCAGGAAATTTTTAGCAAGTGATACCACGTACATTTGCAGTTGTTTGAAATGTGCTTATCTGTTTATTTGTAAATGGACAAAAAGTGCATTTTAAAGAGTAATACCTTTAAAATATCTTTTAATAGGAATTAAAGATATTACTCTTTAAAATGCAATGTGTCTTTGTAAATTAAGGATTGTAAAGATGTATATACGCTTTCCTTCATAAGTGCTGCTTAACTTGAAAATTCATCTACCCCTCCACAAAGAAGCCCGTTAGTGTTTATTATGCCACTATTCATAATAATTAATTGTTAATAGCAGCCAATGTCCAGTGATGAGATAATGTGAAGTTAAACAAATTATGGTACAAAGAAACAGAGTAAATATCAATATCACCATTATTAGCATTACCAAACAGTATGTAGAACCATGATAGAGGAAAAGACAGAATAAGAAGGGATAATGTACTACAGTAGAAGTGCATTTTTCTAGCCAGGTACTGGAAGCTCACACATGTAATCCTAGCTACTCGGGAGGCTGAGATCTGAGGTTCAAAGCCAGCCCAGGCAAGAAAGTTGGCGAGATTCAAACCCAGGACAGCCACCAAAAAATAACAATAATAATAATAAATTATTTAGATAAATGAGAAAATACTTTTTTAAGTGTATTTTCTCAAAATATGTATCTTGTGGACAAGGCAGTTAGCTATGTTTAGTTTTTCTGTTTTCTAAGCTCCCTAAATTACTGTGTGAATATGAAAGAAACTTTTTTAAAAATATTTTATTCTTGTGAAATCCATAACAGAATCTCCATGCAGAAGACTCAGGCTCCAGCTGTGGCTTCAACATAGAATTTTTATACAAGAATAAAATAAAATGAATCAAGCCTGAAAAAAAAAAATACTTTGGTCTTGCCGGGTGCCCAGTGGCTCATGCCTGTAATCCTAGCTACTCAGGAGGCTGAGATCTGAGGATTGCGGTTCAAAGCCATCCCGGGCAGGAAACTCCATGGGACTTGTATCTCCAATAAACCACCAGAAAATTGGAAGTGGCGCTGTGGCTTAAGTGGTAGGGTGCCAGCCTTGAGCCTAAAGAGCTGAGGGACAGTGCCTAGGCCCAGAGTTCAAGCCCCATGACTGATTAAAAAAAAAAACAAAACCCTTTGGTCTTACAAATAGCCAGTATTATGCTGATGGCTGAACAAAAATTTCCCTGTAAATTTATTTATACTTAATTCAATATCTTTATCCTTTGCTTTAGAACACTGTCAAGATTGCTGAATTAACCAAAGTATGGGGGTGCTTTTCGGTTTTAACAGGTACCAGTCAGTGGCCCAGACCTGGAGGGCAAGCGCCTTCATCCCCAAGCTATGAAAACTCGCTTCACTCCCTGGTAAGAACCTCATACCGGTCTTTATAGGTGTGACAGGTATCACAGGATTGAATCCATAATTTGATGGGGTTTTTGTTTTTAGTGAGTCTTATATAACAATGAAGAAACAGTAGGATAGCATTACTCACGAATTCTTTTCTAACAAATGGCCTGATTGAGTTGAACAGTCTGAGAGACACATCGGTTGTCTCTTTTGCCATCTGTTCTTTGAGACATCAGACTTGGTGTCCGAACAACTGGTGTTAAAGTCATATTACAGAATTTTTTGTTTCTGTGAAAATTCTAGGGCTTAACTTTTTTAAAATGACATGTTATAGAAAATTAATGGTAGTGGTACAAAATCCACATAATAACAGTATAATTTATTACATTCATATTAAAATTTTTGCTGAATATCTGTTATTTTTATCATGCAAGCATTATTTCTTGTGTTTTCTTAAACCAAAGAATATGTTGTCCAAATGATACCACACAAATAATAAAGGAAACCTTTAGTACTCCAAGATGAAGAATTTGTGGTAGAATGTTAACTACTGTTACTTTCGTTTGCTTACATTTGTAATCCAGATTTACAAAATATAATTTAAAAAGCATAATAATGATCTGATGGAATGCCAAGTCATGCTATCATTTAATTATGCCAGGTTGCAAATAGAGATGTTCTTTTTCTGTGTCTAACAGAACATTTTAAATTGAAGGAGAGTTCTCACAGATTTTGCAAGCAAATATGAGCAATGTGAGCTGTTTAAATGCTAACCTTATAACTTCCCTGTTAAATCTCAGCCTTCTCAAACCTTAATACAAGTAGATCTCTCAGGTCTCCACGTTAACTTTACTAACATGTTATGCCGACATGCACATCAGCTATTTCCTCATCTCTTTTGGAGTTAATCTTAACCTGTGCTTTGCCTCCTGTTCTGTCTTGACTTTGCCAGAAAAATCGAGTTGAGCAGCAACTTCACGAGCATTTGCAAGATGCAATGTCCTTCTTAAAGGATGTCTGTGAGGTACTATTTCTTTTAGATGGTGCCTTTTTTGTGTTTCAGTTATTTATACTTCCATTATCCATTTAAGATCATCAGGCTATACAGACTCCAAAGTCTTAAAAGTCAAACAGTTGACCATTTCTGATTTTGTTGGAATATGTAAGAGTAGACTTTTGTCTTTTATGTTGTTGAGAATGATTCTTTTTTTTTTTTAAGAGCTCTGCTGGCATGTGCTTTTGATTTTTAGAATTCTAATATGTTTGTGTATGGGGCATGTGTGTATCCACAGTGTCATTTCTTCAGTTTTGTTAAAGAATTTATCTGGATGTATTTACTTTTTGTGATAGGTGTGCTTTATCCACCTAAAACAAAATTATTGCTAAACCCTGTTGGCTCGGAAGGCCCTTCCCCAAATTGACATATTTTAAAGATCATTATTAAAGTCAAGTTTATCCCCTTCGTTTTAATCCATTGTATTTGAATATCCACATAGTAGTCTTCATCTTTTATAGCTAAAAGAAATAACTTCATGTAGCTTGGTATATTCACTTTAGACAGCAGTAATTTGTTTCTGAAGCTTTGAAATGTTATCCTAGCCTACAGATAGCCTTTGTTGCTGTTGATTTACGGTCCGGGTAGTTGGTTTGAAGTTACTTGATACTGCATTGCGTTTCTCGGGCTGTCTTCTGAATGTCCCAACGTAGGAAACATATCAGGTCACCAAGTCAGTCTGATACTGGCAGTAACTTCCCTGCGTTTTTCCATCCTTACAGCAGTCTCGAATGGAGGATCGCTTAGACAGACTGGATGATGCTATCCATGTGTTGCGGAACCATGCTGTGGGACCTTCTACCAGCCTGCCCACCGGTGACATACATGGTTTATTGGGACCATCCCACAATGCACCAATTGGAAGCCTCAATTCCAACTATGGAGGATCAAGCCTTGTTACAAACAGTCGATCTGCTTCAATGGTAGTGCCCCTTGTCCTAAATGTTTTCATGAACTTTTGGGGAAAATGCTTCTTTTTTTGAAAGGAAAGTGCAAACAAAAAGACTTTCTATTGTTTGGATAGAATAAGTATTGGACCTTACAGTCCTGTGATGACCACATGGAATAAGAAGAAACCAATTGGGTACTGGTAGCTCATGCCTGTAGTCCTAGCTACTCAGCAGGTTGAGCTCCGAGGATCAAGGTTCAAAGCCAACCTGGGAAAGTCCTTGAAACACTTTATCTCCAATTAACTACCAAAAGAGCCAAAAATGGAGCTGTGGCTTGAAAGGTACAGCACTAAAGCTCAGGGACAGCACCCAGGCCCTAAGTTCAAGCCCAGGACTGGCACTAAAAAGAAAAAGATATCATTTTAGCTCAAACAATTGTTTTTGCCCTGAAAAAGTGCATAGGAAGTCAGAATTGCCAAAGCAGTAAAGCAGGACTGAATTTTAGCGATCCTAGTATTTAAAAAAATTGTTTCTTATCATCTGGAACTGGCCTTTAATAGAAAAAGAATAATATGAAACTCTTAATCTATAGAGGTCCAAATTTAAACTTTATTCCCAAATGAGCTAAAAATGGGGCTGCCTATATACATCAAAAATTCTTTGCTGGGGGCTGGGAAGGTGGCTCAGTGGTAGAGTGCTTGCCTTGCATGCCAGAGGCCCTGGGTTTGATTCCTCAGCACCACATAAGCAAAAAGAAAACAAAAGCCAGAAGTGGCGCTGTGGCTCAAGTGGTAGAGCGCTAGCCTTGAGCTGAAGAGCTGAGG